TTAGCTATCTCTTTTTTCTTTATCACTCTCCTCAGGAATGTACTATATTAAACAAAATTTCTGATAATATAGAAATGGCCTTTTCTCTACATCCATCTCGAACATTTTTGTGTTTGGGGATTTTAATGCTGATCACATCAAGTCACCGGTATTCACTTTCAATTTTTCCATTGCTCATTCTCTCAGTCAAATAGTGGATTTCTCTATTTGTTTCCCTAATAAATCTGTTCAATAATCTTTGTTTGATTTGTTCCTTACCTCCTCTCCTAACTCTTATCAAGTATCACAACTGTCCCCTTGTCAATTCAGTTTATCTATTGATATTTCTTTTGAGTTGTCTATTAGAAAAGGAAACTTTTTCACAAGATTTTCTATTAAAAGCATACTGATTGGGATTAATTTCATGACCTTATTCAAGACACCCTTTAGATTAATATTCTTAACCTTCCGAGTGAGAAATTGTGCCACAGAAGTGTCTTCTTGGATTAAAACCAGCATTGATGCTTTTGTACCTTCTCACAAATAGCAAGTGAAATCACAATATTCTCCTTGGTTCACATGAGCCCATTCAGCCACTATAGCCCATAGGAATCACATTTTCCAGGTGAATCAGCATGATAATTCCATTCACAATAAGTGAATATTTGTGACTGCTTGAAATAATTGTAAACGTCCTCAAAGAGAATGTCTTTATTTGCTAATAGAATGAGGCACCGAATAGCCTCTAACAAGTTTGTTCACATGACTACTAGCAGCTCTGTAACAGTGTTAAATAACAGTAAGTCTCCTAACCACCCTCTTCACTCAATTTAAGGTGTTAACATCTGCTGATAAAGCAGAATGTTTTGCTTGTAAATTCTCTTCCAATTCTACTCTTGACTCATCTGGAGTACGTTTGCCTGACTTTCTACTTAGCACCGAGTCTCTATAGAGTGATATGCATATATCTCCATCCATGGTTTCTATTATTCCTAAACCAGATCCTCACAAAGTATGTGGATTTGATGGCATCCCTGCAATAGTCTTTAAGAAATGTGCTCCTGAACTGGCTCCTGTTCTCTCTAAACTCTATAATAAATGCTTTGCTACTTTGGTGGTTGGAATGCCGAACTGAACCCTTTATTTCGCTCACTGGGGTAGACTGTTCTAGTTCTACATGCCATGTCTAATGGATGTCAGTTATCTCAAGGACACATGGCACGGTGGATAAAGGCATTAGTTAGATCCAGTGACAGGACCCAAAGAGTGTGAGTTCAATACCTGGTTAAGACGGTGGAAAACTTTGAGAGGAATTAACAGGAGATAACTGACATCATGAGACATGGCACGTGGAACTAGAAGTCTACCTCAGTGAGCAAAATAAAAGGTTCAGTTCGACATTCCAACCACCTGAAGAAGGCCAGAGTGTACAATGGCTGAAACGTTGTGATAAACATGGCAACAAAGATGAGGACAATAGTCAGAATAATGTAAATAGTGTACAACTAGATGAGGTTGGTCACTGATTAGGAGAGTGGTATGTGTGTCAGTGGTAGAATGCAGGCTGATGTGGGTAGCAATTTGGGAGGTAATCTGGGATGAAATGGTGGCCATAATTACAAGGGTGCTTTATGAAGTTTTTTTTGGAACAGGAGTAAATATGGACGGCAGTATAGAATTCCTCTCAGAATCCCTTAAAGAAATGCTAGGCAGATGGAAGGTTAGGGTGGTACTTCTGAGCAGCCTATAGAACCAGTGAGAATTGGATTGAGTGACGTCACCATGCCATAAAGACAACAGCAGAAAGAGTTTTCTAATACAGCATCCAGGTCCAGACAAGTGAAGGAGACAGTGCCATAAAGATCCTTATTCAATTACGAGTGGTGACATTACTAGGTAGTGCCATTAATTGAAGAGGGTGAGGAGTCAGCTTAAGTCAAAATAGGAGATGAAGTGAGAGTGAAGCCACTGAATGCTTTATGCACAACTCAGAAGAGAAGGGGGATAACGACTGCAGTGGACAGAGTACACCAACATATTCTGGGTGTTAGGAGAGTAACAAGCTCTAAGGGTGATAGAGCAGCCTTTGAGGAACAAAGGGATGAAGCTCAAAAAAGAACAAGTGCAGAGATCACAAAGTGAAGGCCTTCCATAGTTGCTGGTCTCACAATTATATGTAAAAAGTGATCTGAGGCCTCAGAGGGGGGCATGTAAAAAAAAAAAAAAAAAAAAAAATTTACCTATAAGTAATCAAGAGGTGTGATGAATGGAGCAGAAGGTGTAGAGGTATGAACTAAATACTTGGTGGCAGCAGACATGGCCAGACAGTGACGGATTCTCAATAAGGGTGGTGATTATAAAAGAAAAAATATAATGATAGGGAGGGGGGGATGTTCTTTTGAAGTTTGCTATTCTTGCAGATGCATAATCAGCCTAAACAAAGGAAATAGAAAAGAAAAGCAGAGCAATGTGTGTCTCATTTTACTGTTGAAAATCGCTAGATGCAACTGAAGGGTTCTTTGTTGATAATTTCTTCATTCTTCTCTCAAAGTTCTAGTTTGTGAAACTCTACTAGCTTTAAATTAAATACATCAATTGTCATCATCTGTAACCTTGAATCCTGTTCTCACTGTCCTCTCTCTCCTCGGTATTTTCTCAGTTTCCTTCACTCTCAGTAACCCTTTAAATCTTAGTGGCTTTACCACCTTGCTTGGGGTGAAATGGGTGATGGGGGAAAAAAGAAATGGAGAGAGTGAGGGGGAGATGGATGGAAACAAGACAAATTCATTTCATTCCTACTGAGAATGAAATTAACAGAAACCTTGGGGAATCAAAGCCATATTCTTCTGTCCTCAAAATACAAATTATTTTAGCAATTCTATGTAACTACTACATAATATTGTTCAATATTAACCAAGAGAAGTAAGAATTATTTCAGCAAAATCTATGAAATGTTGGTGCTTTGTCTGGGCAGTTGTAACAAATGCTAGTAATGGCAGAGGACAGAGGAATATTATCATTGGCCATACTCTAAAACATTGATGGTATATGTTTTTATCAAAGATCATCTGCCACTTTGAAAACAAAATGAAACAATGTACAAAGATTAGGATGTTTGCCAAGAAGTTAAAGACTTAAACAAACAAAATTATATATATATATATATATATATATATATATATATATATATATGCTGCAGTTCAATTTATATTACATGAATCATTCATACAAAAAGTAGATTAGTAAAGTTAATGATATAAATGGCGAAAAACATCTTTGCCATTTATATCATTAACTTTACTAATCTACTTTTTGTATGGATGATTCATGTGTGTGTGTAAAAATGTAGAAATTGTATGACAAAGCGGAAAAAATTTACTTGTGGCGTGCTCTGTCCTTCAGGACTTAATCAGACTAAAATAATTCACTACAATGTAAATGTCTAGAGAGTGCCTTAATAGAAAAGTCATCTACAGTAAATTTGTACCCTGGCTCTTACAATATTTTGCCGTTCCTAGCACATCTAATATAGCAGTATGGAATACCCACTTAAAAAAGTGATGGAAAGATAAATAAAATCACTCTAAATGAATTCAGCTAGATAAAAGTGGAGGAAAAAAATAAGAAAAAAATTCTAAATTAACAGCACCCCTCTGTTGTACATATGTGTAGTCCTACCAATATAACAAATTTAGATAAATAAAGTACTGAAGGACAAAATATGTCACAATTAAACTTTTCCCACTTTGTCATACAATTTCCCAATACTGTTCTTGATATATAAAAATATATACTATCTTACACACACGCAACTCCTGTTCACAAATTTTCATAAATATCTGCCACCAGAGGAGAGAAAGGATGATGATCTCAATCCAAGCAGGTGCCGACTACTAATATATTTCATGTGTTAACGACTTTGATAGAGAATTTAGAGAACCAAGTTTGAATTCCAATCAGGTCCGTTACATTCATATGCGCAAATATCCTTGTGAAAGGTATGAATCCATCACTTCACCTCTCCCTAACTAGGAGTTAAATAGTAGGGCAGACTTGGCTCTCTTTAGCCTTGATTGGCAAGGACAACACACAATCCAAAAGCCGAGGAGGGACATTTGAAGACCTTGTGGTACATGTGTACCCATCCTTTTTATTTGATTCTTCCAAAATTGGGGTTGGTTCTGCACAAGCCGAACTAGCTGCACATATGATCTGATTATAATGGTGAACATTATAATTAAATCATATGTGCAGCTAGTCTGACTGTTTCATTTTTAAAAAAAAAAAAAAAAAAAAAATATATATATATATATATATATATATATATATATATATATATATATATATATACACACACACACACAGTAATTTATGTTTTTGCAGTACTGAAGTTATCTCTCTTAGATTGACAATGCCAGTGTTTGTCATGACAATGAAAGACTATTCCAAGATGTTTACAATGCCAGGAAATGAAAGATCAGAGAACACACACATCTGACTAAATGTCAATTTTTCTTTTGCCACCCTCTCACTCTCAGATCAAGATTTTTTTTCAGCACACTCTTGTATAACCATTTAAAAAAAAAAAAAAAAAAAAAAAAAAAATACTTGAATCAATTTTATATTCCCCTCACTTTTTTTTTTTTTTTATTATAAAAATTAATTTACATTTTACAAAACAAAAGGCAGAAGTTTGGGACAAGTAATAATTAGTAAGTGTTTATAAAGACTAAAATTTCTCTCATTCTTTTTTTTAATATTAATCTTTTATTGTGTATCTGCAATGGTAAAACATTTCATTTGTTTATCTCCGAGTGAAGAATCACAAAAAGATATGGAAAAGGTTGATGTCTTCATTCACAACAGCTGCCAATGAAAGATCTGTGATATTTACTGGCTTAACAAGATCCCCTCATGATATACAATATATCCCTTGTTTAAAAAAAAAATAAAAAATAAAAAAAGAGAGTGTAGGTTACAATGCCTTTGTGAAGTCCTGAAAATGTCCAGTGAAAGAATACCTAAAGATGCATCAAGATGAACCCCAACTGGGAAAAGAAAAAAAAAAGGGAATTAAAAGAATAAAAAAGGGTACCCAAAAATACAGCGATGATAGAATTATGAAAAATTGGTCACTTATGGAGCAAAACACAGGCTGATACACAGTTTCTATGGAAAAGTACAATTGCAACCATATGTCCTGGAGAGGGCAAAAATTATTATAATATTCTGTGTATAAATTTCACTATATCACATTCTTTTTGTTCAACTGTTACTTTCAATGTTACAAAGAAAAAGTGCGGAAAAATGTCATTCAAATTCTGAAACTTATGAAGTAACAGTTCAGTTTAAAAAAAAAAATTTTTCTTTTAAAATAATTTAACTTTTCTGTAAATAAATCAATAAACATTATAAGGACACGTATATTCTAGTATGCACAAAACATTACCTATCTGTATATAATAATACTAGTATACATTATTAAATATGACTTACTAGAAAAGAAATTATTTATAAGCAAGTGTGTTAAAAAAATATTCAAAAATGATAGAATCAATTTGATTTTTACAGCTTATCAACTCTTTGAGGGGTTATTTAAAGCTAAAACATACTTTGGATTGTAAGAATTTTTTTTTTTTTTATGAGTAAATATTGAATTAAATTTTGAGAATAATTACTTTACCAGATACAAGTCCTACTATTTAAACCATAGTGGGGAGGGAGGAGATGGTTTTATACCTTTCCCCAAGGGTATTTGTGCATAAGTGAATATAATGAATCTGACTGGAATTTGAAGTCATCTCTCCAATTTCTCATTCTGAGCCAGTATCCATTACACCACCTGCACATCTACCAGGAATTATATGAAAACACGATATGTTAATCAGAACAACTAAATAACAAAGTCATGTTTTTTTGCCTTTTAGTGAGATAAAAAAAAAAAAAAAAAAAAAAAAAAGATATATTACATCAACTGAAATCACAATGTTTGCCAGCCAATAATAATTAAGCATATAAAGTATCGAGTTGAAAAGATCATGTACAGTTTGTGAATATAGGGCCATTCATCCAATGTTGCATCTCCTGGAGTGTCTCTCAAACGTGCTTTTAACCTGAGCATCCACGACAGCCACAAAGGACACACTCTACAATTTTGCCCTGTAAGGAAGAAAAAGAATAATGAAACAAAGTTAAAACTTATTAAACAAACAAACAGTCATATTCTTTCAATCAACAATGCTTGCAATAATTCTTGGCCCTTTCCCCACCCCCTTCATTTTCAGTGTTCAAAACTTGTTTAGATAAAAAAAAAAAAAACACACACACACAGGGTGTGACAGACCATATTAAAGGTAGATTAAGAACTGGTTGAGTAGTAATAGATAGTGGACAATGATAAGAAAAGTTGAAGTCTTGCCTATGTACTCCAGGTTCAAATGCAGACAGAAACACAACCAGAATTAATGTTACTTTCTTTTTTTTCCTTTATCAACAGAATTTACATATAAGCAATGGAGTGAATTAATGTTTTGCTGCATTTGTTTCATAAATCCTACTTGTGATATCATACATAGAAAACCATTAGGTGGTCAATAGTAGACATAATTACTATTCAAGTATCCTAAGGATGAAATAAAAACTTTATTTTTCCTAAAACTAATTTTGCTATTCTTCTATCATGAAAAATAAAAATAAATTCTGCTTCACTATACTTTGAATTTTTTTTTCAATTTCCGAACAATCATTTTCTACATTATCATAGCAATAAATAAAGAAATAAAGAACTTTAAATAATCCCAAAGTTATCATATAGGACATAAAGGAATGGAATTATCTATTTATGGAGTTAAGCAGAGTTAGTATTAGATCAATTACCTAGTGTACCTTCATGCAGTAAAGCTTCTATTTCATTACTTACCAATGAGTTTTTCTTTATTATTTCTTTCTTATCTTGAAAACACAAATAGTAACATGCTGTCTGAAATATCTAAACTGTCAGTTGTATACAACTATTTCTGCTGATCGATGGTGAAAAAAAAAAAAAAAAGGCTTTGAGGGAATAAAATCTGAATGTCTCGACAAAGGTTATTCTTCTTTGATCACTGTGGACTGGATCAACAGAATCACAAAGAACTGATTTGATACAGATTCTAAAACATTGTCTAAATTATAATAAGTCGAAATAACAGTTTTATAACTGTCATATAGGACATAAAGGAATGTAATCGTCTCAATATGGAGTTAAGTGGAGTTGAGCAGAGTTAGTATTAGGTCAATTGCTAAGTATACCTTTGTATAGTAAACCTTCTATTTCATTACTTACCTATGAGTTTTTTCTTCTTTATTATTTCCGTCTTATCTCGAAAACACGAGATACAACAAAAGTGTAAAACCTTATTAAAGAGAAAGATTAGTACAGGGTGTGGCAGAAATATCTCCGACATTTTAAACAGTTACCTGTATAGTGCTAGTGAACTTAGGTAAGTGGCAATGGTGTCTTCATCTAGATAATGTCTTACCATTATGTGGGAGGTATTTCTGGGTATTATATGTGGAAGGTATAATACCTCCCACATTTTAAACAGTCACCTGTATAGTGCTAGTGAACTTAGGTAAGTGACAATGGTGTCTTCATCTAGATAATGTCTTACCATTATGTGGGAGATATATCTGATACATACTGTATTATTAAGTAATCACCCATCTATTTCTCTCCAAGTAACAAACAAGAGATTATATCCAAAACAAGGAGGTATCTAAGATGACACATACTAGGAAAAGATGAACTCATGCCTTTTTTTTTTTACATGAGTACAAAGTGAATACAAATTACATCAGCCAATATATGAACAGTCTACATATTCTATTTGTAAAATTGTCAACTATTACATCAACTTTACAGGCTCCATAGATCAGAAGCCAACAGGGATTTGGGCTCAGGAGAAGGGGAAGGTAAACAAGATTTTGGAAATCTTGAACTGACCCTTTCAAGAACACATGACCCAATGGATAAAAGCATTGATTGAAGTAATTCACAGTAACTTGACCCAAAGAATTGTGAGTTCAATACCTGGTCACAGCAGTTGAGTTAAAGAGAAATAACTGATACTGAGATATCCAGAAGAGGCATGGCACATGGAACTAGAACAATCTACCCCAATGGATGAAATAAAGGGCTCAGTTTGAAATTACAATCACCTGAAGAAGGCTGGCACGTACATTGGCCGAAACGCCATGAATATGTCAACAAAGATGAGGACAACAGTTTGAACAATTGTAAATTGGGTAAATAAACTTTAATTTCAATTTTTCCTAAGATAAATAGCAGTGTCTGGTTCATTTCTTATTGAAATACTCACCTCTTCCAATTTGCTCTTTGGCACTCGACATATACAATTTGTTTGAAAGTTTGTGTCTCTTGTTTGGATACAGCGCAAACAGCACAGGTTTTCATAGCCTTGCTTCTTCCATTTTGCTATCAGATTCTTATCTGCTATGCCTTCTCGTAAACAATATTCATAAAGTTCTTTACAAAAGAAAAAAAAAAGAAAAAGAAATAAGGTTTAAAATGCAAAATTCCACAAATATTTGGAAAATGACGAAAAAATTTTAACGACAACTTTCATCAACTATTAAAAATAATTACATAACATTTTTAGCAATTTTTTTCCAAATATTGATCTGTAAAAATGAGTGTTCCTTAATAAAGAAAATCTATAGATTATCTACACATTGAACAATTCCTTTCATAAGAGTACAAATTTAAAAATAAAATCTTTTGATACCTGATAAAAGAGAGAAAGAGACAAAAAAAATCTCCTTAAATAGTAATTGTTCAAATGTATAGAAGGATGCAAAGAAAATCATAAATTAATTTACTACATCAGCACAAACAAAAAATTCCTCTTCGAACCACGTCTCAAAATTCACAATTTATTGAAATTCTCTGGTTTCTGGTTGATAAGCTTTGTGTCAATTTATTTTGAAGAAATTTAATATTCAATTGATTCCAAGGAATACCCATTTATTTTCTTGCACTACCCTCCTTAAATAAATAAGAGAGTTAAAAGAAAAGCAAAAAAAAAACTTAAAGGATTACCTCTACTTATGGCATGTCGTCTGTAAAAAAGGTCATAAATGTATCGAGATCGCTGGTGATGAATTCTGAAGATGGGCCACAAGGCTTCGACTTTCCTTTTACCTTCATGCGGTTCAGTTTCCACTGTAATTATTTAAAATAAAAAAAAAAAGAAAAATGCACTTTAAAAAATGTTTATACTAATTGCTCTGAACTGAATATCTCAGACTCTTTTTCTAGATAATGTCTTTAAAATTATCAAAGAGTATCACTTTGAATATTGATTTTCAGCTATCGGCTTTACATGATTAAAAAAAAGGGGAGGATAGGAATGTTGGTGTACAGAGGAAAAGAAGGGCCACTGTATTTGTAATATTCTGTGAGAAACTTACTATTCATTGCTTTGTAGAGAGGCACTTAAAATGTTATTTACAAACATTAGTTTAGGTTGGATCCCTGTCAAGTTCAAACTCTGGACAATAATGGTCTGATGTGAACACAACAGGAGCTCATTAATTACATGGTAGATGGCTAAATCAGTGAAATCATGTTGATTACTTTACACCTTACATATGGAATCGTAAAATAAAATTTTGAATATATATATATATATATATATATATATATATATATACACACACACAGTGGACACTCCTGTCGTATTCGCCGTATGAGGGTCAAGCAGCTCAGTTCCTAGGAACCGACAGCCCAGACACCAGCACATATGATTTGATTATAGTGGTGAAGGCTTTGTGCAGAACCAACCACACTTTTTGAAGGGCTGAATACAGATGGTGCATATACCAAACGACCCTCTGCAGGTTTTGAATTCAGAGTTGTCATTCTCCTAGACTAGTTGCTATCCAAGGCTATAGAACCCAGTCTGTCCAACTATTTATCCATAGCTGGAGAGAAAAGAAGAGGATTAATACCTTTCCCAAGATTATTAGTATGTAAGTGAATGTAATGGATTCAACTGGAATTTGAACTCTGCTCTCAAATTCCTAAATCGAAGCTGCTATCCACGACTCCACCATGTCTCATATATATATATATATATATACACACACACACACCACAGCTGTTTAAAACCCTTGTTTTTGTCATATAGGAAAATCCAACATGGCGCGTAAACGAAATATTTGGCAAAAAATCTCATTCGTTAGTAACATTTTAAACACCTCATAGAATGTCAAGTTCTTAAAGAAAACCTATGCCAAAGTGTTTTCCTGAATCCTTGATGACTTGGCTGTCCGAAAATGGTAATATCAAGATGAAATAATGCAAACTGACCGTGAAAAAATACAATTATCGCAACAGGTTTTCGATCAATTAGTAAACTTCTGGACCTTTTAGGGCGACTTTATAGGATCCAGACGGCTATTGTTTGCACATGGAATTATTCACTGGTAATTAATCTTCGATTTGGCTGTGGAAAATGTCACTTCGGCTTAGCATTAAGAAATTATGCCCAATTTTCTGAGAAAAATCCTTTTTTATGAAAAAATATTTATTTTAAGCTTCAAAATAACATCATTCAAAATTCATTCCTTTCTCTTTCATTTGGCATGAACATCATTGAATAAAAAAAAAAGGCTAAATGGACCGGCGATGGAAAATGAAAAGATATCGGCGAAAAAAAAACAATGCCGGCTGCTAAGTGTTGTTGTCATCACCGGTCACGGGATGTTAAAAACAAAACAAAAGTAAACTCATCAAGCCATTGTTCAAACATAGGTTGTATGAAGCCCTAGTAATTGTGAACCCTTTTTTTTTTTTTTTTTTTTTTTGCTTTTTATCTGGGAGTGGTGGGTTTTATTACAACTTGTTCTAAGGTTTGCCGTCCATTTATTGCTGGCTGGCTGGTTGGCTGGCCTTTGACCTAGACGTCAAAGTCAATTAGGTTTATTTTCCCTTATCGCTATTTTAGGGAAAAAAACTTTGGTTTCTGGTGGTTAGGAATTGCAGATAAATCTCTTGCCTTTTACTAAAGATTTCCGTGGCCAGGTGTCAATTTTTAACCCTTGGCAGTCATATAATTGAAAATTACCAATGGATTTTTGTCGCATTTGAACCTCTAGGAATGTTGATTTCCTTCAAAACTCTCAATTTTATGCCTGAAATAGTTTCATTATGATTTAAGATTTTCAAAAAAAAGAAAAAAAAAATGATTAATTTCCCATTAATGGGGGAAATATTTGTTTAGAACAAGAAAAAAATGCAAAATTTTCACTATTTTTTCACATTTTACCCACTGAAAAAAATTTTGAGTCATTTACACCAGCTAATTTTACTTTTAAATGAAAGAATATATCTTTTGCTTTCAGAAAATACCTAGTTTCATGGGGTTCAGATCAAAAGTTTCCTTGATATTAGTTTAGGTGATGATAAAACAGTCATTTTTCAATATTTTACCCCTAAAAAAGTATGAAAACCCATATTTTGAGAGAAAATAAGCTGTGACAAAATGACTTGCTATTTTTGTGATGATTTTCACTTGGGAAAGAAAATTTTTACCATAGGAAACCTGAATTGACTTTATTTAAGTTCAGTGGGTCTGTAGGAAACCTCAAACAGCTGTGACACACACACACACACACACTCTCTCTCTCAAACCTCTAGCACGATGCAATCTTCAGGTGCTAATTTTTGCTCTGTTTCATTAACACTTGCACTATTTGTGTGATATGTTGTAATTCTATTACCATATAATATATTTTCTGTTTATACATTATTTTAATAGATACAATTTATGTAAGTAAATGCTCTGTTTTTTTAATTAAATTTCTAACATTCAGGCCAGTAAATGTATTTATTACTGTTTACAGTGATCATTTTTAACCCACTTATGCATGATGCCCAACTAGATAGGCATCGTCTTTATCAGCTCTAGGCACAAAGCCTCATACATGAGATTTGATTTGGAACTCTTCGTTATAGTACAAAAATATCATAGTCTAATGTAGTGATTTTCAACCGCCATACTGCCATACCACAATATATCTTAAATGTGCTGTGAAAATATTATCATGGTGTGTGTGGAAATTGTAAATGGTACAGGATTATTATTTGAATAAATGAATAAGTATTAAACTTTGTTTTTACAAATAATTCTATTCACTATTCTTCAATTATGTTATTTTAAATACTTTGTTTTAATATACCCTTTAAAAATTTTGCTAATTGTGCAGTGATATTTTCCCTTGTTCTTAGGTGTGCTGCTTCTTAAAAAGGTTGAGAAACCCCGGTCTGTCTGTAGCTGACCAAGACCATGCTAGATAACTAGTTGGGTATCATGTATGAATGAGTTAATTTAAAAGAAAAAAAAATGTATTAATGTATCTTTGTATCAAGTGCAAAGTTTGAGTTATACATTCTTCCACTAGCATGGAAAGAAGCACATAACTCCCACCCTCCTCCTAGTATAATGGGAGAGGTTCTGAATAGAAGGAGAGATCTCTAGGCTTACTGAGATTTGGCAAAAGTGCCAGACAATTGTACAAGCCTGAAATTAAGCAAATCATTACTATGCATTAAATTAAATCCTTAAATTGGGCCCTGAGCCAGACTAACCATAACTTTCATAAATTCCTGGAGGTGAAACTAATCATCAAGGAAGTCTTATTTGAGACGTGAAATTATAAGCTGTTTAGTTTTGTAAATTTCTCATAATTATTCCTGTATAATACAATCATTCCCCCCGCATCACATTTTTAAGCCTAAACGGTTAAGTGTGTATTGCACACAAGAACTAAATATTAACATATTTTTCGAGCCATGTGTGTCACCACATTTGGGACAGTATAACTGAAAGTTAGTGATATCTTTAGGTTCAAATTAACTAAGGTGTAACAAAGAGTTTAAAATTATTAACCAAACACAAAATTTGTTTAAATAAAATTATTCCCATAGATATTAAGCACATTTTAGGTTGATGACAGTTTCATCTATGTTGTCAGTTTACCAACTTTATGTTGTCTTCCACAGAGTCATTTTGCCCTTTGTCAAGTGTTTTCTACTAACCATTAGAATGTACTGGTTTGTAATCGTTTCTTTGAGTGTGAGATTAATTTTTTTCTTTGTATGAAAATGCCCATGTATTTGCTCTAAATAGAGCATAAATTGTCTTTCGAAACATAATGTAGACCTGGATAAAAAATAACAAATACTAAGTTTAGTTCTAAAAAGTCAGTGCATATTATACACAGATGTTTCTTTCCTGAATTATTTAGCCCAACATTCGGAGTGCACATTATACATGAATAATTACAACAGGTGGATCTTGGCTTCTTTTATCAAGTTTACACTGTGACAATAAGTGAAAAATCAACAGTTAATTACTGGTGAAAGAGAAATGTATCTACCTTATGTTAGTCAATAAAACTCAATAATGTTACCTAAGGAAAGATAAAAGAATAGTTTAAAAAAAAAAAAAAAAAAAAGTTAAAAAAATTGCTACCCAATTTTAAAATATTTGCAAAAAATCAGGAAATTATCTCAAATCAAACAAAATTTTCAATACTTATTAATTAATGAATGAATTGTATACTTTTTGTGATGTACAGTGGCTGCTAATGATTAAGTATAACTCCAGATTTCAATGTTAAGATAATTACAACTGCAAACAAATACTTAAGAACAAAGAAATAAAAGTCAACCAAAAATAATTAACCATTTCAGTAAATACCTTGTTGGTAGCACAGCTTGGCTTAACATCTAGTAAATCCTAAATCAAAACCCAAATCATCAATGCACAATAATTCACACTAATTTGACTGGATAGTTCTACTCAATAATCATTGCAGTCAGCAGCCTGACGCCACTATTTATACGCCTGGCAGAAAACATATTCATAAGTCCAGAGTGTCATGCTCAAACATCAGTGTCAGTAGTTACTCATTATTTTCCTATAAGACAATACTGAATAGGTTATTTTATTAGAAAACTTTGTAGAAATATTTGTGGGGGGAGGTCTGTTTCACCCACATTTTTTATATCTCATGTATACTTTTAAGTATACATGAGATATAAAAAGAAGGGGTGCAGAATTTTTTTAAAGTTATAAGAAAAATCCCTCTTCATTAAATTTTCTTTTTTAAAAAAAGAAAAACTCAAAAAATAATTTTTCTAGCGAGTTAAATGCTTGCATAATTTAATAAAACGCCTTTTCTTTTAGATTACAGAAAAAATAACACAATATTTATTAAAAAAAAAAAATTACTTAATTTTTCAGTGCAATTTTGAAAGTTATTCTGTTGCTTTTTTTGTAACAATAGTCCTTTTTATTTGGCTTGGAGAATCGAAAAGTTTACTGAAATTTTCAAGTGCAAACGTTTTTTTAAAAGCCCCCCCCCCCCTCTTTAGCAACTTTTACATTCTTTTTTTGTATGTTCAAAAACGAAATAAATATGAATTACTGCCCTTGACCGACTAGTTTCACTATTGGAAGAGTAAAAGTACGTAATATTTATTTCAAATCCGATTAAATTATTTGAGGAATATTAGCTGATTAATTAAACTTTCAAAAAAGTATATTTTACTTTTGAAAGATTTTTTAATATATAGAATCACATTGTGGTGACAGATGTCTAAAAATGGCTAAAATCCGCGATTAAAAAAAAAAGGAAAAAAACTCCTTTCTGTCAATTTAAATTAGTTTTTGAAACACAAAGTATTTTTCTTATTGAAAATATTGAATTTAATCTATTAGCTTGCAATTAAAACTAAAATAAAAGCTTCAAGAATGATTTTTCATTTTTAAGAAATTATTATTTATCATATTTGTTTGCAGATTTTTTTTAAATTAAAAAAAAAAAATACTTCAACGGTAGTATCAAAAATTTCACAAAATCGTATAGAATTGTTAAACTATTGGTTATATAAAGTTAAAGATAAATTATTTTTAAAACATAAATTACATAAATACCAACTTCTTGTTTATTGCACTGCTGGTGTTGTTTCTTTGTTTTTTTTTTTTAAGAGAGGTTTCAAATATTTATTCAATTGTTGTGAAGATACCGTGAGTAAATAAACATTATTTTCATTGTTTTAAACAAAAAAAGCAAGCGTTACGTTTACGAAATCTAATAAATTAATCCTTAGATTTACTAACTGGCTTCGAAACACATTTCTGGAACAAATATTGGATTTTTAAAAGATTTCTAAAAATTTGTTGTTTACATTTTTCGTTTTATAATGGCGGTTTCTGGGGTCGATGAACGTGCCAATCTTTTTTAAAAATGCCTAAAAATCTCATTTATATACGGAAATTAATTTTATTTTAATTCGGATTAGTTTTTCCTTATGCTAGTGTTATTATCCGTACTCAAATGACACCGAAATAAGTTCTAAGGAATTTACAACTTGGCAGTACAGAAACATTTAATTTACTGAATAGAGTTTTCATTGTAAAATGTAAAGTGTCAAACCTAAAAAAATGTTTGCGTAAATAATTAATAGCTTTCATTAAAAAAAGAAAGTACATTATGTCTAACATTTTTAAAACTGAGATCGAAAAAATATATTTTAAGGAAATTAAATTAGAGTTCCCATTCAAATACGAAGTTATCACTCACCACAACATACAGTTTTGGTTCGAATCTTACCAATGGTTGGAAATTGGTCAAGTAATGTTCACATACCATATGTAACTTGATTAAAATTTAATGATCACTTGTGTACATGGTCATTATTATTTTTTTTTTTTTTGCTCATTAAAAAATAACTTCGAGTGCATTTTTTAATTTTATACATTACAAACCTTCTCTCATCTTCTGGTCCAATTCATCTAAAGTTGGTTCAATAAGTTCCCATCCTTCTGGTGGAGGTTTTTTACTTCTGCGTACCTTCGGCATATTGTTCAATAATTAAATTCGAAAATGGTTTTAAAATGCAAGATTAACAATATAAACAAAGCCTACTTCGCGATCGCTCTTACCACTTCCCTAAATAACACTTCTTTTTTTTTTTTTTAAACCTTAATTCAAAAAAAGTTAACCTAAACGGAAGTGGTGTTTCAAGATCACGCTCTGACGAGATTTTAATATTGAACAAAAAAATAATTTCCAACTTAATAATATGTAGGTTTAATTTGGTTTAATATATAAAGTGATATCTGTATATAACTCTTAATTTATTTCAAAGGAAAAATATTATTTTCGTATGGTGTCGCGTGTATGGGAGCAGTCATTTTTTTAAGCTCGTGAATATGAGACAGGAAGAATGTCAGATAAAAATAATGAAACGCTCCCTTTTGCGTCGCCAATCACTCATTCTCAATTGAGAATAAGTTTATTTAAACTACGGATGGAGAGTAGAAACATAATATGCTGAATTGTTTTCCTCATCATCCCCTTTTTTGGGGAAGGAAAAGAGGGGTTATAATTTTCCGCCTTCTAAGTTAACATGAAAAGAATATGATGCTACTAATAATTGGAGAGAGAGTCTCTAGTTAGATATTTTGTTTTTTAACTGAGCCACTCTATAAAACTTATTTTCAATAAAAAAAAAAAGATAATATTAAAATTGTATGAGAAAAATAATTAAAATGTGGGAATTGTGTCAAAATTAATATATAAACTATTCTAATTAAAAAAAAGATATGAAAATTGTCTAAAAATTTTTTTTAAAAATGATGGAATTTGTAAAAATTAATACAGAAATTATTTTCTTTACTTTGAAAAAGAAACTTCCAGAAGACAGTTTATAGAAAATAAAAAACATGAATAAAAATTTTTAAAAAAAGATTCAAAATTGATGTCATAAAAATCTGCCAAAATTAAGCCCAACAGTTTATTAAAAAAAATACCAAAATGAAGCCAGACAGGTTAAACAATCTGTGGCAATGATTTACATAATGAGTCTTGGCTTTAATGTCAAACAAGTCAAAATTTAAATTGCAAACAGGTGAAGTTTGATTGGATAGGGATTCTTAAGCTTTTAACCAATGGGAATAAAAAGTATTTGTCCCCTAAGGATTTGGGTTTTGATCTGATTGGAATTAATTGTTTGCTATATAAGATGGAAAATATTGACTATAAAGTCAGAAATGAATAGGCCACACCTGGGCGAGAAAGCTGTGACCTCGGTAGAAAGGATTGACTGTCTCAGGCCTGTAAAGTTTACTGCTGTGGCTGCTGCTGCTGAAAGGATTGACTATCTCTAGCATGTACATAGCAATAGTAATGGTAATATTAGCCACTAGCAGTAGAGCCTGGCGTTGCCCGGGGATGTAACAGTAAGAGATAGATCAAGTATCGACCATCATAAAGACTGAAAAATAAAATTGACAAAGATTATTGTTTAAGGTTGACGGACACGCATGTCTTAATTAGTTTTTTTTTTTACGAATTTGTCAAACCCAAACTCAAACAAAAACATTGTTTTCAATCGTTATGAGTCTACCGATTGAATAGAATTTTATTATAAACAATTGTCTTGTAAATGGAATTTTTAAAGCATTCTGAATGTAAAAATAAAAAGAAAAAAGTGCAAGACAATAAGAAACACTACCTGCCAAAAAAAAGTGAAGTTTTGTTGAAATCGGTTGAAAAATGTAGGAAATCCGATCCCATATATAAATGAACACACACCTACACACACACACACAACCTGATTTTATAATAAGTATAACTCGATATGAGTTGTCCCCCTTTCATTCCGTGAAAGCGATGCCTCTTAATCATGTTTTCAAATTGATTTTGTGCAAAAACAATTGTGTTTATCCAATTTTTGGCACTGTCAGAACCACCGCAAGGTAATTTTACATAGTCCTGTGAAGTTTTGTTGAAATCGGTTGAAAAATGTAGGAAATCCGATCCAATATATAAACGTACAGACACACACACACACACACACACACACACACACAACCTGAGTTTTATAATAAGTAACATTTCCTTATAAGGAACCATTCGCTATTCATTGACTGAGCAGCCAGTGCTACTTTGGCTGAAATTTATCAAATCTTTCCCATAAAACAATTTTTCAGAAAAACAGGTTTCTCAAGTCCAATAGCTGTTATTGCTCTTTCCAATATTGATGGGGGTTTCCTTACTAACCTTTTATTTAGAGTAAAGTGGAATGTCAATATTTTGATTAAATCATTATTTTCCCTTCAGGTTACATGTGATATCCATTTTAATTGTGGCTGCTGTTGCTAGTCCTCAAATGGTGTGATTTCTGTTATCTGGTACACTTCTTTGTGATTCTGTAATGCCAGACTACAATGTTCAAAGAAGTGTAGGGATATAAATGGCAATTGCCTCACTTTCATTGAGATAGACAAAAGGATCATGTGACAGCTGGTGAATGACATCAGGGGATAGTGATGAAGGGCAGCTGTGATGTAGAGCCTGCAGAGGAAAGACATATCTAGCTCATGGAGGTAGGTCTTACAGAAAAAAAAACCACATGACCTAACCAGGTTCATAGAGAAACCACCATAACTCCAGTTTTTCCTTCAGCAAATATTACAAAAAGGTTCCCCTTTCTTACACACCATTTGTTGTTGCATATATGTTATAATTTCTCTTCATGGGACATGTGTATATGTCTATATATATAATTTTATGTACGACATAGCATTATAAAACTCTTCATGAGAACAAAGTATGTAATGCTATGTAACCATATGGTTTCTCACACATCCTTAGGAGATAAGTAGGTAAATTCCTTTTCCTTTTAAGTCAACTTAATTATCTGAGTTTCTTAGGAATTTCATCTCCAGTCCATCTTTGAGTCAACTTAATTGCCAGTTTTCAGGATTCCTGTTTCCAGCTCACCTTTGAATTGGCAAACATCAAATTTTGTCATTGATTTTAGATAATCATAAAAGTAAAGTACTTTGAAGAAACTCACCGAGCATCCAGCTTTTTGGGTGGTCTACTTTTCTGGAAATGAGAATGTCACATATTTGTGTGTGTAGAGGAGAAAAGTGGGGTTGATTCTCATTAGTTTAGAATGATTGAATTAATGATAATTATAATTGTTATAAAGATGTAGCGACATGTGGATGAAGACATACACGCTGGTAATGTCTCTTTTCCCTGGTTGGCTGACAACTGAACTTCTCTTCCCAACATATAGCATCTGGACATGTTTTGCCAAACCTCCAAAATGAAGTGAGTACCAACTTTATTTTGGTTGTTCCAACTCAGTGCAAGGTTGAATTGAGCTTGGCCATTATAACAGTGCTTGCTGTTACTTATCCTAACTTACTTCTGGACCAGAAAATGAAAATGGACATACTCAAGAGACATTGAAAACTTTGTTTCCCTACAATTTCTACATAAAAAGAATAAATGGTCCATCGTTTTATTTGCATCTTCTTTTAATTGTTTATATGTGAACATGCACAAACTTATGATACACCAACACACAAACTTCAAATTCCATTAATTTATTATAGTTCAATAAATTTCTTTCAAAATTGAAATAGTGGATCTTTATATTTCAAGTTTAATTCAGTATCTTCCCCTTTCATATTAAATAACTTTCATTCCTTAATTAATTCATATATCAACTCTTATTTCATGTGTTGTGAGTATCAACACCTTTGATGAGATTTTAATGCACCTGGTATATTTGACATGCAAACAATTTTAGATGGACTCATGTGAGTCCAGGTAAAAATAAGATTAAGATATAGAATTTAAAAAATAAATATTAACAAATATATTGAAGGACATTTTATTAAAGGAAAATAAATGAAATAAAATGAGAGGAGTTCAAAGCAAGTGACTGTACTTGAGGTACTTACATTTTTGTAGAAGTGAAAACTACTATCCAACTGACTGTAAAAGTTCGAAGGCCTAAGACAAAAAAAGTTCTTGTGAGATATATAGTACAATAATTGTTTTTCTTGTCTTCACTACCATCTACTATCTTAAATCACTATCCATTTTACTGTAAAGACTCAAGACAGATAAACATCTTGAGATATCTCTCAACAGCCATTACAAGACAAATTTTGATTTCACTACTCTCATTATAAATTATCTTGTAACACTATCTAATTCATTTTCATAATGCAAAAACCTAAGATAAATTTCATGTGAGACATCAGCTGTTCACAAGTGGTTAATAAATATTACCTGTAATATCACAGAGTACATAAACAATGTATTGTTAATAATAGACTTGCCACAAGACTATATCCACTTCAAGAGCATGTTGCAGGGTTCAAAACTTGTGATGACTTTTAATATTCTTCGTACATTTGACCTGCAAAGAATATTGACAGACTCATGTGAGCCTGCACTAAAATAAGACACATGATATAGAATTTAAACAAATAAATATTAACAAATATATTGAGAGGACATTTTACAAAAGAAAAATAAAAAATGAAATTAAATGTGAAGAGTTCAAAGCAACCTTCAGTGTTTGTAGCTGAGATACTTAAATGCTGATGGCAGCAAAAAGATATCACTTAGGAGAATGTTTTATCAACATAATATCAGGATAACATGTTTCTTTGGTGACTAAGTAAAAATTGTGACAGCCTAGTTGCAATGTTTGACTTATTTACTTCATTTATCAGATCTCCATCAATGACCTTCTTGATGTCATCTATTCCTAACTAGGTATTTATGCTGATGACATAACTATTTACTCCTGTCTTGGTAACAAGTCCGTTAAGTCTGATAAAGTTTTCATAACAAACTTCAAAGAAAAGCTACTTGAAACTTGTAAGTCACACAAAACCAGGAAATAATAACATTAATAAGTATCCTGATGTTCCAGTTGGTATGGCTCATGTGGCTTCAGATTTTAACTGATTGGAATTGTTAATATGTACAGGTTTTGTCATGGTGAATCCAGATGGCCAATTCCACTGATTTGTTTGCACATT